ATTTGAAAATGGAGTAATAGGCTGCTGTAGGAGAGAGACGGAGAGGAACCAGAGGATGTGTTCGCCAGCAGCCAGATGAGGAATTTGTGCTGAACTCGATCGACCCGCACCACGTGGGACTTTGCCGCCCCCGCCCAGACCGTACTGCAATATTCTAAAATGGAGCGCACGTTTGAGAAGTATGCGGCTAACACTGCGCTGCGGTTGAATTTTGCCTTGCCGAAGCCGACTTGAAAAGAACGAATGAGGAGGCCGAGCGCACGATTGGCCTTGCGAACAATGTCTGATATATGCGGCGCGAACGTTAATTTGGTGTCGAGGGTCACCCCTAAGTCCCTGATCTCGCTCACATGTTCTAGTTCCGCATCGGCTATAAAATATTTGGTCTGGACGGGGGCACGCTTGAGGGTCATCGTGAATGATTTGCACTTTTTTTTATTTAGAGTAAGTCCCCATCTGACGGACCAGGCTGACAGCTGATTGAGGTCGTTCTGCAGCAATAGTCCGTCAGCTGGGGAGTTGATTTGGCGGAAAATTTTGACGTCGTCGGCGTACAAAAGGCAGCCGGATGTGATGTGACACGGTAAATCGTTGATGAACATTGCGGAAAGGAGGGGGGCCAAAAGTGCTCCTTCTGGAACGCCGGAGGTCACAGGTCTCCAGTTGGAGGTCCTACCATTCACGATGGCCCTCTGACGTCTGTCGGACAGATAGGAGACGAACCATTTTAGCGCGTAGTCCTTTAGATGGAATGATTTTTCCAGTTTATGAATGAGTATGGAATGGTTCACACTTTGGAATGCTGCCGAATAATCAGTGTAGATGGTGTCCGTCTGATATCCGTCCGACATGGCGTCCCACGCGTGTTTGAGATACGTGCTAAGGTTCGTGCTACACGATCGCTTGGGTATAAAACCATGCTGATGAGGGCTTAAAACCGGTGACACATGACGGAAAAGCTCGTCGTATACAACACGTTCCAGAATCTTTCCGAAGAGAGGAAGCAGGGACACAGATCTAATTGGATGGATTTTTCTGTCACCCTTTTTATATAACGGTACAATGTTTGCCAGCTTCCATCTCTCCGGAAAAATGCCTGACCTAGCAGACAGGTTACAAATTTTGGTCAACGGCACGGTAAGCTCATCGGCACATTCAATGATGATGCGAGCACTGATGTTGTCTGGTCCACAAGCCTTGTTAGGGCTAATTATCCCAATCACGGCTCGCACAGCTGCTTCTGTGATACACAACTGGCTCAGTGGGTCGATCGGGTACATGGGGGCGTCTGGAAAACTGTGCACATGAGGATCTACAAACTTTGCGGCGAATGCTTCATTGAGCGAGTCAGCACGATCCAGATCATCAGATATGAGCTCCCCATTAGAGTTGCACAATACTGGCGATGTACCGGATTTCTTGGCAACACTTTTTATGTATGACCAGTAGCGCTTTGGGTTGTTTTAAAATCGTCCGTGAGCCTGTGCAAATACTCGTAATACTTAAACCTAGATACACTTTTAAAAGCACGTCTTTTGTCTTCGAATTCCGTCTGGGAAGCTGGGCTGGGACTTCTCCGCAGTCGCCGGAACGCCGCCTCCTTCAACCGCAGGGCGGTCCGCACCGCGCCGTCAAACCACGGGGGCAGGCGGCGCCGGAGGACCACCGTGGGGACGTGATCGGCGATAGACGACTCCAGCAGGGTGTAGAAAGTCTCAACCGCTTCGTCGACTCCGATGTTGTCTAGGAGTCCCCACGGGATCAAGGAGACTCCGGCGCAGCCCGTCGAAGTCCGCCCGTTTGTAGTTGAAGGCGGTGCGTCGGTTGATCACCGGCCGACGGGGAACCGGCACGCTGAGTGTGGCGATAGTCTCTTTGTGGTCGGATTCAAGGCCATATATAGGTCGGATTCGAGCACGCCGTCCCGTACGATCACACGAGATGTCATGTTTCTGGTGGCACCAAGTCGAGCGTGTTCTCGCCTCTCGGGGGCTGACACACCCACTGCCTCAGACCCAGAAAATCACACATGTCGATGAATCTAGTAGCACGATTTGTTGTTCATGGCAGCTGCAGCGCCGTCTGTGTGGTCGGCTGACATAGACCATCGCAGCTCAGGGAGATTAAAATCTCCAACGATGATACTTCTGCAGTCTAGTGGTAGCACTGATGAAAGTGCGTCTGCTATCCTGCCCATGGCGTCGGCGTTGTCGGGCGGGCGGTAGCACACCGCGAGTGTCACCGATACGCTCCGCAGCCGGACCAGCAGCAGCAAGCACCCAACAGCAAGATGATAGCGCATTAACTAGTGGTCAGCCTGCAAGTTCATTGCTCGCACGTAAGTGGAAAATAATGATGGAATGTCATTTTCGAAAATCGAAGGTGCTTGAAGAAATGCTGGAAGGAGAGGCACTGGCAGAGAGGGTAGACTCATTGGACTCAAGATTTTAAATAAATATGTCACTGTTTTCACATATTCAGCTACATTTGACATTGCAAGGCGCCAGCTACTGATACCACTACAACTTTTGGGTGGAACTTACTTGAGCTGTGTGGAATAGGAAAGGTGCATTTACTAAGACCAAAATGGCAAGATTTTCAAGATAATGACAATTAATTAAAAAAAAGAAATTGAATAGCATTAAAGAAATGTATAAAGGCTTGTTTTTGAAGCAACACGTGCAAAGTTTGCATGGTTGCGAACCCGAACAAACTTGCTGTCATAAGATTGTGCCACTCTGAGTCAGCAAGTCATGCTGCCAATATTGAAGGAAAAGAAAATGATAGTAATGTTGTAAAATGTAAATGAATCCATAACTGTTGTGTGTGCACTGTGCTGATATTGAATGCATGTGTATCTTGCATGCATGAGTCATGCAGGGATCATGTTAAAACTGGCTGTAAGTATTGTGAGTTACTTTACTTTTGCAAAATTGTGGAGGCACCAGGCAAATTGCGGCCGAAATGTTATTTGTTCACCTCAGCGCTGAAATTTCTGCACACAGAGTTTTCAGATCATGCGCCGAAATGTTCATGCAGCCCGTCCGTTACACTAGTCATGTTGACAGTGACAAGGATTTTTTTCCCAGCCTCATGTTGAAATACAATAATAACTCACTTAGGTTGATTTTAGCTTATGTTTTTCATGCCAGTTCCTAGAATAAAGCAGCCAATATTTTCTGTCGTGTGAGAAATATACCGAATGACAATATGCACAATTGCAGGCTGTGGCATGTTGTGAGATTTTTCCTTGTTTATTGCTGAGGTTTTTCCAGTCTCTGCTGTAAAAACGGTGGTGAATCCACCGTCGTCCGACGGTTTCGATGACGCCAATCATCGGAGAGTGTTGCTGTGATGGCCGACCTGACTGAGCGCACAGCGGCAGCCGCCGTCGCCAATAACGACAGTGAGGACACCTCCGAGTCAGACGGAGACGCCGCCGCTGACGACTACACCGTGCTGGACGAGGTGGAGCGCTCGAGCCGACAGGCCGTGCACCGCGTGCGCTGCCCGACTGGCTGGCGCACCCGCAGCCGATTGGCGACTGGCGGCCGGCGCCGGCCAATCTGCCGGCGCTCTGCCCCGAGCTGCGTGCCCGGCTGGCCGCCGAGGGCATCGAACAGGTGTTCCTGGTGCAGGTGACCGTGCTGCCCGAGCTGCTGGCGGCCGCAAAGTCGCCGCTGCCACCGGCCGACCTCTGCAGCATCATTAAGTATTTGACATTGTACACCAATATAAATGGCACCACTGTGTTTCTGAGCTCAGACTGCATCCGATAGTCACCATTTTTGTTGAAAAATATTAACTTTAAAGGAAAAGGACCACCTTCTTGAAATATGAAGATATCGTTGTTTTTCATTTTGACATTATTATTTTTCCTTTTTAAAACTGGTGCCAGAAGTGCACAATTCGCGAAAAAGTATTTAAAACTATTTAACATATTGGTACTATGTTGATACTCTCTACGGCACCTACTGTATGATGGCATGGCGATGACGTCACACTCAAGCCAATCAGCGTTCAGAAGACAGACTCGTCGGATTGTGTCAGATAAGCTGATTGGTTAAAGCTGAGCTGGTTGGAGCTGATTGGTAAAAAACCAAAGCCTCGCCGCGGGTATTGTCGGATAAGAACGCATTCCTGGGATAAGGACGCATTCCTGGCGTATTTTCTTTTAAAATTGCCGATAACTACGAATGGAGGCCGAAATCGGCCGTAAGGAGGAAGACAGTTAGGTTTTCGGACACGGGCTACAAGATGGCTATCTCAGTTTCAATCCCCATGTTAAAGGTGGCCCTTTTCCTTTAAAATTTGATCTTTTTTACCCGAAAGTGGCCTGACCTAAGCTAAATTGAACTCAAAATGACCTCGAATGACATAAACGAAATCTAATTCGAAATATATGGCCTAAATGCCATGGACCATAAAACATGTGTCACGTGACCGACGCATGATATAAGATTTCCGTGACCTGTGATGACCTGACCCTAACCTGAAAACCAAAGTACAAGTTTAGTACCCTCAGGGTATCTAAAGCAGCTGTTCACGAGTGTGTGCGCTGGCGTCTGCGCAGCTCTGGCCGCGACACGGGCCCGGTCAGCAGCGCAGGGGCGGCCCCGGGTGCAGTTGCGCCCCCCCCCCCCCCAGTGGCAGGTCGCCCGGCCGAGCCGCCCCTGGTCGGCTGGCTCCGCGGCGGCTCAGCTCGCCGCCCGGCCGGCTCCGCGAGCTCGCCCGAGACCCGCCGGGTTGGGCCGGCGCCTATACAGGGGAGTCCGCGCCGGCCGGCGCAAGCAGCAGCGGAGTCACAGAGAACTGCGAGCTGTGTCCAGACAACAGCCAGCCGCTGAGTACCGATGTCTGTCGGCTCCGGCCAGACTCACCATCCGGCTGACCCGGATGGTGAGACCCGGAGGCCCGTGTGCGGGACCGGCGGAGGGAGGAGCGGCCGACCCGACAGCTACAACTGCAGCTCACCTAAACATCAAACATCTCATGCCGTCTATCGACGAAGTGAACATATATTGAACCAGCACAAGCTAGACATCCCGTGCATTAGTGAGACATTTTTGAGAGAGGACGTCGACAGTACCTACCTAGTGTTTCCCGGCTATGTTGCGGGGCGGTGCGACCGTAAGTCACACGGTGGCGGTGTTTGTATATTGTACCGCGACACAATGAGGGCCGAGCCGCTCACCGTCCCAAAGTACTGGCTCTCAGCTCGAGACACTGTGGCTGCAGTTTTTTTTTGGGGGGAGGGTTAGGCCCTTTCGGTCCAATGAGACCATTTCAGAGCCGGGAGGATGATAGGATATAGGGGGAGACATTGGTCTGGGCAGGCACCCTAGTGAGTCGCCGGGGCTGAGCCCGTCCAGAGGACAGGCCACCCAGCCCCACGGCACTCACTGCACCCGGCTACGGGGTGCGCTCCCTTGTGAGCAGCGGTGCCGCTCCAAGGGAGCAGCCCGCATGAGATAAAGTTGCCTGTCCAGCCCGGAGGGGGGTTGCGGCGTGGAGGAGAAGGATTTCAGTATCCTGAGGATAGAAGCACGGAACGGTGCTGCAGTTTGTCGGTGGGACAGTTTTTGTAGTCGGGGTGGTGTACAGACCGCCCAAGTCGCCTATCGCGCCAACGTTGGACGACCTTCAGCTGCAGGTGACGTCACTCCTCGCTCGGCAGCACCCGCTGCACGTGTCAGGCGACCTGAACATCGACCTGCTCCAGCCGTCTTCCGCTGGAGCCCAGCGGTACCTGGCCATGTTGGAGGACCTCTCCCTTCATCAGCTTATTACTGCTCCAACACGAACTACATCAGCATCATCGACGCTGATCGACCACGTCATCACATCTGACACGGAGCTCACCACCAATGCCCGGGTAGTCGACTGCAGCGTTAGCGATCACGACATGGTTGCCGTCAACATCCTGACCAAGCGAACGCGCCGCACAGCGCAAACCATCACGGTTCGCTCTACCAGAAACGTCGACAACGACGCACTACGCCTCGATTTTCTTCTGGCCGACTGGAGCGCTGTGTACGCCGCTGGCTCTGCTACAAAAAAGTGGGATGCCTGGCTTCAAGTATGGCAGCCCATCATCGACAGGCACATGCCGCTTCGTGCGGTGCGGCTGAAGCAACCCTCCTACCCCTGGCTGCACGACAATACGGAGCTGCAGGAGTGCATGGAGAAGCGAGACCGTGCTCGAGAAGCCTGGGCTCAGGACCACAGCAGTGCTCAGGCTCAGCAGATATGCAGAGACACCAGGAACGCTGTCAAGAAGGCGCAGTACAGAGCCTGCTCTGAGTACTTCGCTCTGTCGTACAAGAGCAGTCGAGCTACAACCTGGACCGACATTCGACGACATCTGCTCGCATCAAGAAAACCGGAACCGAAGATAACGCCTCTCCATCACAGCGACCCAACATGGGCAGAGCGACTCAACCGTCACTTCGTCTCGGCCGGGGCAGATGTCGCTACTGCGCTGTCTGCCGCACCACAGGGGGCGCCGCTGCCACCGAGGCCAACGCGAGTGGTCAGCGGCGCCTTCAAGCTGCGGCCTGTGACGCTGCCAGAACTGTCTCTGGCACTCAGGGGCATGGGCAATTCACGTGCAAGTGGAAGTGACGGCGTCACAGTTCAGATGCTGCGTGCAACTTTCCCCACTGTCGCCCCTCATCTGCTCCACGTGATTAACTGTTCGATACGGTCGGGTGACGTGCCGGCTGGATGGAAACATGCAAGTGTGGTGCCGTTGCACAAGAAGGGAGACAGATGTGATCCTGGGAATAACAGACCTATTTCAATCCTCAGTATTCCAGCGAAGCTTTGTGAAAAGTGTGTTTGTATTCAACTGTCTTCATATATCGACCATTACCATGCATTGTGTGATAACCAGCACGGTTTTAGAGGTCATTCGACTGAAACGGCTATGATTGACACTATAAACTTTCTTTCATCCGCAATGGAAAATGGTCATCAGTCATGTCTCCACTTTGATAGCAGCCGACACATCTCGTGCCTTCGATAGCATAGAACATGTACGATTGTTAGATAAATTAGGTTGGTACGGCGTAGACAAACATTGGTTCGAGGACTGGCTGAGGAACAGGACTCAGAGCATTCAGGGTATAGCTGCGCCGGGACACTGCCAGTGACGCACGGTGTAATACAGGGCTCACTAATCGGCCCAAAGCTGTATTTGCTATTTACTAACGATCTTACGGCTCATTTACCTTTTGGCAGGCAGGTGACATACGCAGATGACGTACAGTTTTTAGATTGCGACTCAGTTGAAAATTTAGGATGCCTCAAAGAGCGCGTTGAAAGCACACTTGATGTGGCACTTCTTTGGTTCACGCAAAACCGACTTAAAGTAAATCCAAGCAAAACTGAACTTTTGATAGTCAAACCAAAGAAGAAGAAGTGTAGGTACTTCCTTTAGCATAAGATTTGGCGATGCAGATCTAAATCCTTCACCATTTGCAAACATCCTCGGTTTATTTGTTGACTCTGAATTATCATGGGAAAAACAAGTATCTCAGGTTGTCCGCCGCTGTTCCTTCGTCCTCGTTGGTCTCTTTTAGATAAGACACAGGTTGCCCTTTGAAACAAAAAGTTACTGATCGAGGCACTCGTGTTTCCCCATCTGCATTACTGCTTAACGGTATGGGGCAGCTGTTCTGCTACTCTCCGCCAGCGAGTGCAAAAGGCTATAAATTTTGGAGCCCGCATCGTTACTGGCTTGTCCCGGCGTGAGCACGTCACTCCCGCCCTGGAGTCGTTGGGGTGGCGGCGTCTTGACGGTATGTTGGAGGAGAGGGACGCGGCCATGCTGCGCAGGCTGATGTCGTCCGGGGCGCCTCCGGCGTTGGCCGATCTAGTGCGCAGTCGCTCTGAGGTGTCAGTCAGGGCCACTCGCGGTGTGTGCGCTGGTCAATTGGAGCTCCCTAGAGTAAGGACCGAGCGTGGAAAACGTACTTTTCCGTACAGAGCCGTGTCTGTTTGGAATGCTGGGTGCATGAATCGTCTGTGCCTCGTGTGCACGTTTGATGAGCGCTATAAGAACATATTTTTTAGATAGTTTATGTGTTCGTCTTTTTACAACTTGTATTGACGAGAGGGCAGAAAAGCCATGTTTTATGGAGCTTTTAATAAACCTGACTATGACTATGACTATGACTATGACTATGTGCAAACCAAACATGAGCCTAGTCTGACTTATAAGCCAGCGGCCAGAGCCCAAAATGTGAACAAGCCAAACATCGATAATTTTTCTTTGACCTGACCTATGACGTCATCGGTGACCTCGAGGTCAATGAAATTAGGTTTCTCTCAACAATTTTTCAGGTGCTATCAGACGCCGTTTGAATTTTGACAATCAGCCCAGTAGTTTCGGAGTTAGGAAGGGGGTATGAAGAACCCCCCCCCCTCCCCCAGTAAGGGAGCGTTATACGCAGACCCCAGTGGGACGCGGGTTACAGGACAGATTGTGCGAAACACGAGACATCGCTAACACTCAGAGGGTCACAGCGGTCAGCTTCGCACGATACAGCTGGCACTCGGCACGCGTAGGTCAGATCCACAGATGGCTGACTTGGAGTTCCCATCGAAATCGGCAGCGCAATATGCCTTTCCACAAATAGGAGGCGGGTGGGGACTAGTTTCAGCCGAGGTTTGAGACGGAGACAGTCTCACGGAGCCGACGCAGCTCTGGGCAGGACTCCTGAGAGCCCCGGGGCCGGCAGGGCTCCTGAGAGCCCCGGGGTCGGCAGGGCTCCTGAGAGCCCCGGGGCCGGCAGGGCTCCTGAGGTCCTGAGAGCCCCGGGGCCGGCAGGACTCCTGAGAGCCCCGGGGTCGGCAGGGCTCCTGAGAGCCCCGGGGCCGGCAGGCCTCCTGAGAGCCCCGGGGCCGGCAGGACTCCGCTGAGGTCCCGCCGCCGCCGGCAGGACTCCACAGACCACAGCTGACTTCAGGCCACCTTCAGAACGTGCCACATCTGGATCTGCTCCTTGGGGCTATGCAGCATCCTCTCCCAGTGCTCCTGCATTTGGCCGCGAGCAAACATGTGCGAGCCGAGCGTAAGCACGCCCAGCGTCACGTCTGTAACACACAGGGCGCCAGTTACACAGCGTAGTCGCAGGCCGCAGCTAAATCAAACTCTTCCAACGTCAGTGAACACGCCCAAATCATGAACTCTTTTTGTTGTCGCACACATATATATTTGTGTGACAATATATTTGTGACATTAGCATGGCACACGCCGACATCGTACCTACGTACAAAGACCGCCGAGTAGGGTTTGCTCTACATATGTCAACCTATGTATTTGCATCTGTAGCGGGGTTTCGCGGCGTTGCGGGGCTAACCGGGCAGTGTCTTTCGATAGAGAGCAATAGAGAGCAAGAGAGCTCCATCGATGCGCTCCTAGAGGCCCTTCACTGTACAACCCCTTCGCGAACCCGTTCCGACTCTGACTCTATCTTCCGGGGCGATCAATCATCGGAAACACATAGGCCAGGGTTAGGGAATGGGATGATAATAAATAATAACCCATTCCCTAACCCTGGCCTATGTGTTTCCGATGATTGATCGCCCCGGAAGATAGAGTCAGAGTCGGAACGGGTTCGCGAAGGGGTTGTACAGTGAAGGGCCTCTAGGAGCGCATCGATGGAGCTCTCTTGCTCTCTATTGCTCTCTATCGAAAGACACTGCCCGGTTAGCCCCGCAACGCCGCGAAACCCCGCTACAGATTTGGCGCACCCAACGTGGGGTAGGATCAATCAAAGGAAACATGAAGTCGGTGGACCGACGTGCATTGCCGAACCCAAAGCTAAAATTTCAGAGGAAATGCGAGCGTGAGTGAGAAAACATATTATGTCTGAGCTAGATGCAGTGGGAGCTGGTCACTCAGTGCAGCGTTACTCGGGTTAAATTGATTTGATTGAAATCAGAAAGCGTGGATTGCTGGAGGGTGTATATATCATGAAGCGATAAGGGTAAATCGAGGATCAATTTTAAGTGACGGGCGAGCGGGCTTGGTATATTTTTTTTCGGCTACAGGTATCGCTAACTAAAATTATGTGGCTCACATCTAGCGAACCCTAACCTTGAGTGAAATCCCGTGATCCAAAGTTAGAGTAATCACACCGAGGATGCCATTTTAACCCAATTTTTAAGAGATTGTACCCATCCTATACCAAAAAGGTGCAGTGACCTATGTGTGACCCGTGGACTTACCCGCCTCTGGAGAGAACTGACAGGAGACTGGCAACCGTCCACGAGCCGTTCTCCGTGACGGAAACCCCCGTTACAGAACAGGCAGTCATGTATGTTGCCGAACCCAATGAACGTACTAAAAATACGACTGAGCACGACGCTATGAAGAAATTGAATGTGCTGAAATGAAAATCAGGATTGAAGAAGGCAAAAGTCACCAATAGGACGCAGCATACTGAAATGAAGGTGACAGCGCAGATTGTAAATGATTGAGGCACGTTTTAGAAGCAGTATGGAAAGCTGAATTGCGATAAGAACAAGAAGGACAACACACAGCCGAGTGACGGCGAGAAAGAAGACATTGAAGTAGTATACCGATGGAAACGACGTTGATACTAAATGGCAATGGATACATGCAATCACAGAAAGGAAACGACAGCTGAGAAGAGTAAAATGCAAATGATTGAAGAACTGTAACATCACGAAGCCATTTGGAAGAGCAAACGTGCAGCACAGAGAAGAAGAGACGCCGACAGAAGAACAGAAAAAAAGGTAGTCATCAACAGCGACTGCCTGACAGCCAGTGCCCAATGGAACTCAAAATGAAGGCAACGCCGGAAATAAATAACAACAGAAGACCGGAAGAAGGAGAAGGAGACACGAATAGAACCAAAACTACAATGTTGTTAGCAGTTACATCGCACGTCTGTGACGACAAAATCAGACGGCAACCGGAGTAATGGTGACGACAACTACAACCATGAAGCATCATTAGACACGACCATTCAGGGACACCTCAATGCTGCCTGTTTCAACCAAAATGGACAGCTGTAATGGACCGGGCCAGTCTGCGGGCCGATTTCTGGACCGCCCGCCGCACTGGCAGGCGGTGATCCGCCGTTCATCAATTGCAGGTGGCTCCCATTTCCCAAACTTCGAGACCGATCATGTGATCTGCAGCAGGCCGGAGCGATGTTCTCAACGTCACAGCCAAGTAATCATGGAGCAGGCTGCAGTGGAACCACACCTGCCGCCAGATGTGACAGCCAAACCATCATCGGCAGTCTACACCAGAGCGCAGCCTCTGCGGCCACCAGACCAGCAGAAACAGCTTGGAAGCCACGTTCAACCAGGCTCAGTCACAGACGACGAGTTCTGGGCCGATCATAGCCAGCTCTGACAGCTCACCAGGGCAGCTGCGTACGACATCGATGGTCGGCGAGGACTACGACTACAACTACGAGACTGGGGAAATCCGGAACTGGGACACGACTACAGCAGCAGCCGGCCGGTTCGAGACCAAATCGCGGACGACCGCCAGTCCGTCATCGCGGCCATCCCGGACCGGAGCTGTCGTGGCTCATGGAGCCACCATCAGGTGCCGTGCTCACTTCTTTGGCATACCACAATCTGCACCGGTGTGTTATCGCTAATTTGATCTGAATTATAGTGACCAAATGTACCAATGTTATTTTTTTGTATTGTCATGTGTTAATTATTTCAATGGTTTCATTCAATTTCCATTGTTTTGCGCGCAAATAATTTGATGTGTAGTTGGTGGTGTATTACGGGATAGTACGTGAATGTTTTTAATTCTGGAAATGTAAGGATGGCCTGAAATACTGTGCAATGACACAAAAACCCGCACTCCTTATGTCCCAATCATCCAAGCTCGTATTATGCCATCCTCCCCAACCGAACACTCCTGTTGAAATAGCTACCAATCCTTTAGAAGACGGCCACCCGCTCTCGTCACAGAAGTCACCAAGAAACACGACGAAACGGCACCAAATAGCACGGCAGAAGCGGGCTCTCAAACGTTTAGTCGCGGGGCGCGACTATAAAAAGAGGTCTGAAAATGTAACGCAGATGCGTTACATTTTTTCATCTTTCATGCTGAACTGCAAGCTGTGCCACAAGCTGAAACACGGCCATCTGCGAGCGCCGCACAGACACGGTCAGCCGGCTAAATCGGCTGTGATACCCTCTCTCCGTCCCAGCTGGCGTCCACACAGACGGCGCAGTAGGCTCTGACAAACAGGGGTCCTCTATAGATGACCACCCCACTTCATGAGAACCCGGATCTGAAGCCAACAAATAGCATACCGAAACGCGCCATTCTGCCAGCCTCGAGCCATTAATCAGTTTAGCCTTTGGAAAACAAGACTCTGTCCCACGCTCGGCACCCCGCCAGAGAACAAGGAGAGGGGAGTGCAGACCGGCCCTGATTTGAACCAAAACAAGAAAGGGGAGCGGAGACCGACCCGGGTTGTACGAAAACAGGATGAAATGGAACTCGGTCGCCAACGACAAAATATAGGACATCTGGCCGGACCTGACTTCAAAACAAGGGGAGCAGAGGGCCAGGCCCGCCACCTGGCGCCTCAGGCGCCGTGAGCGCCGGCGGCGAATTCCACCCGGTCGCTGCGTGAAAGGGTGCGACTGCCATGGCCGGAGGGGAACCGAACTTTGTCAGCAAATCACGAACTTTCGAGGGCGGAGCCGAGTGCAGCTTCTGAGAATGGAGGACGGAGATTGGACAAGGTGATGCTGCCCGGCCCTCTGAAGTATGACGTCATCAGAAGTATAAGTTGATGAAACGGAACTGAAAAGCTCTCTCGGACGACGCATTCCGCGCTCTCTAGCTCTCTCTCGGACGACGCATTCCGCGCTCTCTGGCGCTCTCTCGGACGACGGATCCCACGCCGCTCTTCGCTCTCGGCTCACATCTGACACCGTGGACAGCCCACGAGAGACCAGCGGCTGGCATCACGGCGCCGGCGGCGGCTCCGGCCGCCTGGCCGGGCGCTGGACGGTCACGACCATCATGTCAGCGACTCCATTTCAAGTAAGGTCACGCGGTGAACACGGGTGCGCACCTAGTCCCTAAATCCTTCAAGTACTCCCCCCCCCCCTTTTCGTTACTGCTATGTGAGCCACATTATATTCCCCTTTTAGGTGTCGTCCGCAATATTTTAGGCCATTCAGCTTAGGTATTTAAATTTATTCTTGGGACTTTCAGTCTAGGTAGCTTAATTTCACAATTCGATTTCGATCAATTATGTAACTATGCGCGTAGTGCGACACGCGTGCCGACGTGGGCCCTCTTCAGTCGTCTGGCGCCCCGTTGTGATTTAAGCGGACGGAGGGGATTATGCACCGTGGGGAGTCGGGAAAGGGACGACGCGACTTTGTGCCGCACCGCGCGGCGTGTGAGTTCCAATTGCTGGACGGCCTGGTCCCAGAACGTTTCGTAAAATTTGGCATGTAAAGGAATGAAAAGCGTTGTGTCAGGGAGAATGTAAATAAATGGGACTTGTAAATATCGTAATACGAGTGTGACAAGTGATGAAGGGCAGGGACCGGAGGATAGAACATAACAGGCCATATGCCAGCCACACAGTCGGGAAAGCGGTCGTTTTCAAGGTGTCTGGCTCGTCAGAGTAATTTACAACGATCAGTTCTCTTTATCTGTTGATTGTACACAGTGCACAAAGCGATTATACACAACACATGCAGGACCTCCCTAGCCTAACCGATACTGGAGCTTCTCCGGTTGACTCCCTAAGTGCCCTTGCCAGTGGATTTCCTGGCACTCCATCCTCCCCAAATCATCCCACGGTCCAACAATAGCGATTACACACAACACCCACAGGACCTCCCTAGCCTAACCGATACTGGAGCTTCTCCGGTTGACTCCTAAGTGCCCTTGCCAGTGGATTTCCTGGCACCATCCTCCCCAAATTATCCCACGGTCCAAACAATAGCGATTACACACAATACACACAGGACCTCCCTAGCCTAACCGATACTGGAGCTTCTCCGGTTGACTCCTAAGTGCCCTTGCCAGTGGATTTCCTGGCACTCCATCCTCCCCAAATTAT